TCTTTCAATTTCACCTCACACTACCTACCTACCACTACTCCTAATTGTAGGCATACGGGAAACACCGTAGCAGCCAGAACTGTGTTCATGAGAGAACATGTGGGGGCTGCTCTCGACCTGCAGGTGGGCGATAACGAGGGTTATTGTTTAGATTCATCTCCACCCTGTCCTCAATAGAAAGGGGCAGAAAATGCCGAAAAGGCCGTTGGCTTTTTTCGTGTTATATCTAGACATAATTGTGGTCGAGGTGCATCCAGTAAGGTCCTCGTCTGTATCTGGCCGCATGTGAGGGGTGAACTGTTGAATAGTGGTTCTCTTTCCTGCGACAGACCCCTCATGATTCCGGTTGGCGGCCGGATGAAACGGGAGTAGGGTCATTGCACCATCCTCAACCAGATTCTCATTTTAGTATCCTCTCGTCGAAGAGTTGTCCATAATGACACGTCGAACGACTAACAATCTGGCGTGTAAACTTTGTGCTCAATTTAGTAGTAAGGGTCTCGTTAGACACTCCTAAAAGTGCCTGTTTTTAGGATTGCGTCTTGGTTGCATGCAATCCTAAATCCAATTTTGAGATCGAAAATGTGAAAACGGCATTAGGACGAGTCCTAAAGGATTTAGGATTCCCCAGGCAAAATCGTCCAAAATTTTCCAGTATCCCCCATCCTACTGAAAAAGTTAGGATTCCCGCATTTCACGGACTCATCGTGTCACGCGCATGGCACCGTCGACACAGAGTTGCTGGTGCAGAAGCGGTCCGTCGGGTCAGTGGTCGGACATCAGAGAGGTTTTCTGCGGGTCGACGCGGGCAATGGCCACAAACGGTAGCCGTTGGCGGGGATTGGACGGACATTGGCAGGAATGGATGGACATTGGCGACACGGCTGCGTATATGCATATGAAAGCAGGCCGCGGGAGACCTTTTAGGACGAATCCTAAAAGATGATTTTTAGGATTGCATGTAACGACGCCGCACGAAATCCTAAAAATCCTTTAGGACTCGTCCTAAAAATTTTAGGATTCTTTTAGGAGTGTCTAACGAGACCCTAATTGTCTAAAAAAATGTATTTTTTCAAATTCAATTATTGATTGTAGGGGTGAACTGTTGAATAGTGGTCCTCTTTCCTGCGACAGACCCTTCATGATTCTGGTTGGCGGCCGGATGAAACGGGAGTAGGGTCACTGCACCATCCTCATCCAGATTCTCATTTTAGTACGATTTTACTTAATGGTGGCTGATTGTCTTTAATTGCTCTGATGACTATCTTATTGCCGTTTTGGGCACCTTCGGGAATCTGGTGTATACTACTGGCTATCAGTCCTTGGTCGTTATGTCTAATGAATACTCTTCTTTGGTGTGTCTGAAGTGTATGTCAATGAATGGCCATCATTATTGCTCTTATTTTCAGGTGACTTTGTCAAATTCGACAGTCAGTGAAAAAAAGAACCAAATACACCCGTGAACTCTTGAATGAAAGAACAAAAAACCAAAAAAGTGAAAGAAAAACTCTTGAAATGCAGATCAATCCACCTGCCCTGCGTGGTCTGCGCGACTTAGCTACGCCACATAAAACCCTACATACACCATAAACTCTTGAAATGAAAGAAAAAACAAAAAATGGAAAAGAAGGGGAAACTACGTTGGAGTCGCAAAAATGAGTTATAATTTCACCTCACACTACCTACCTACCATTACTCCTTTACTCCTAATTATAGTCATACGGGGAATCCCGTAGCAGCCAGAACTGTGTTCACGAGAGAACATGCGGGGGCTGCTCCCGACTTGCAGGTGGGCGATACCGGCTACATGTAGGGGACAGCCGGTAGCATAAGGACCATGCCAACAGGACCAATACCTGTGCCTCCCCTACGAACATCAGCGGACTCTGCTCAATGCCCATCGGGGCAGTATGGGCCAAGATACAGTTTCGAACTGCAGTTTGGGCAATGTATACAGCCCAGCTTTCTGGCCCCGTAGGGTGCCCGACGTGCAATTGCAAAAACTGTATCTTGCCCCATAGTGCAATTATAACTCGTTTGTGACTCTACTGATGTTACCCCGCCAAAAAACTCTCGAAGTGCAGGTCAATCCACCTGCCCCACGTGGTCTACCGGCCCTATGCGAGCTAGCTACGGGGGACATACCCCGGCCGCATAACCCATCTGGCCTACAGCTGGCCGCGGGACATAACCGGGCCGCGTAACCCATCTGGCCTACCACCTGGCCGCGGGACATACCCGGGTCGCATAACGCATCTGGCCCTAAGCCCTACTCGACCCGTCTCCCGTGGCGCTACCCAGGCGTCTCTCTCTCTCTCTCTCTCTCTCTCTCTCTCTCTCTCTCTCTCTCTCTCTCTCTCACACACACACACACACACACACGTACACAGACACACACACACACACACACACACACAGAGGAACCGGTGCTACGGGTTTCATGCTTTGGTGCTATGTGCTTCGTTCTTCGGTGCTACGAGGTGCTACGGGCTTCTCTCTCTCTCTGCGCTACGTAGTTTGAGGCCCTCTTTCTCTCCTCTCTCTCTCTCTCTCTCTCTCTCTCTCTCTCTTCTCTGGGCTACGTGCGACGTGCTTCGTGCTACGTGCTTTGGTGAACTTGGTGCTTCGTACACATTGCACGTGGGACGTGCCAGGTCCTACTTGCGTCGGTGCTGGCAACGTAAATCTGGTCTGGTTCTACGTGATTCGTGAGCTTGGTGCTCCCTGCTTCGTGAGCTTGGTGCTGCTGCTTCGTGAGCTTGGTGCTACGTGAATTAGCACTGTTGTTACAGGACTGGAAATTTTAGAAGACTTTTAGAGCAAGGTTTTGCGGAATAAAATATTTGTGTACTTTGAGGCGCGGTGTACTTTTGCGGAACTTTGAGAACTTTGGCGGCTGCGCGAAATCGTGGCCGAAGGCTCGCGCATTGACGGTTGATCGTTGTCGGCTGGAGGACCGTCGGCATGGCTGACTCAAGTGAGTCTCCATTTCTCTAACCTCCTCCCTCCCTCAAACCTCACTCCTTTCGTCCACCCGATCTCCGCCTGATCTCCGCCTGACCCCCTCCTCCTCTCCGCCCTCCGTTCGCCCTGCCTCCGCTCTCTTTCTCCTCTCGTCCTCTGCCTGCCCTCCTCTCTACCTCCTCCCTCGGCCGTCGGTCGTCGGCTTTCCCTCCTATCTCGCTCTTTCATTCCTCGACCATTTCTCCTTGCTCGTCCCTCACTTCTCCCTTCCTCTTTCC